GCTAAGAAGAAAAGTTATTCTACTTCACCAATTTCGTACGGCAAAACATGCAGATCAACCCTTCATCTTTACGAGCAGTGGCAGATCACCCCCTCAACTGAATTCACGCACAAACTCCCCCTCTAACTTATTGTTGGTGGCGAAATGGCCCTTGTCTAACGGATTACGTCCACAATCTGTGCAATCCTAACGATGGGCTGCTTTTGGTGGGACTCGTGGATGATGGGGTGAAGAGCTAGACATGTTCGATGTTAAGGTGGATATTAATTTATTGACATGGCAAGTATTTTTTTTTTCTTTTTTATTCTTTTCGTACAAACTTCTCGTTTTTTTTTCTCCCCCATTCCACATTCTTTCTTCTTTCTCCAAGATCCTACAACTTCCAAATTTATAATGGATTATACGAGGAAGCAATCAAATAAGGTTAATTGGAGTTAAGCATGTGCTTGATGGTTTATAAAGACAGAAACGTAAAGAATGTTATCAACTCAAGGTATAAAAATTTAGAGGATTTTAAAGGTTAATTTGTGAATTTTGATAATAGTTGTTTTAAATTTAAATTGTGATAAAATCCATTGTAAATTCTTAAAACTTAAACACAAATTCCTCATTAAGGAAAAAATCAACATTTCTTTTCAATCTTCAAATAAACAAATTTTATAAAAGATGTATAGGGGTATCTCAACCCATTACATATTCATTTAAAGATATAGAATAATTTATGTAGTTAAACCCAACATAGCTCACTTAATCAATTCATTAAACACTTGGTAGGTATAATTGAAAAGGGTTCTAATTCCCTATCCTTGATTTATTAACATGAAAAAATTTGACATAAATCTTTAATTGGTACAAATAAAAATATTTATAACTAAAATAGATCGTTAATCTCTTTAAACTAGTAAAAAATATGAGATGTATGTATCTTGAGTTAAAACTAACATTTTTTACATTTTTATCCTTGCAAACTACCAAATACAAACTTGACTCTAATTAATGTTTTTACTGCTTCATTGTGTAACTTACTATGAACTTGGAAATTGTAGGATCCTGAAGAAAAAAGAGAGAATGAGTGAATGGAAAATGGCTGACAAAGAGGGAAAAAAAAAAGGGAAAAAGAAAGTGAGAGAAGTTTGTACGGAAAAAATAAAAAAGGAAAAAAAATGAAAACACTTGCCATATCATCAAATTAATAAACACCTTAACATCCAGTACGTCTAGCTCTTCACCCCATGATCCATCGGTCCCACCAAAAGCAGGTCAGCGTTAAGGATTTCACAGATTGTTAACGTACTCGGTTAGACCAGGGCCATTTTGCCACCGACAAGTTTGAGGGGGAGTTGGCGCATGAGTTCGGTTGAGGGGGTAATCTGCCATTACTTGTAAAGATGAGGGGTTAATTAATCTGCATGAATTGCTAATTTCGTACATGTGTTTGTAACTCCATCGCACCAACCACATGATAGTTATTTTCATGATGTATAGTTAAAGGAAAATGGTTTGCTCTTTCTTTTATTAAGTATATTTTATAATATATATTAAAAAATTATTATTTTTAAATTTAAATTAAAAAAATTATAAATTATAAATTTTAATGATTAAATTAATAAATATTATAAGACATTAAAATAGAAAGTATATTAATAATTTTTTATAGTTAAATACTTAAATACATAAAACATGAGACAGAACATGTGATCAAGATAAGGATATTAAACACATCATTAATTAGAAAGTACAGTACTATTTTCACAGTTGATAAAGATATTAATTTATAATCTCCATTTTAATTTTCTTTTGCAATGGGACTCTTGGACTCTGGAGGTTCTTAAAGTAAAAGAATTTTATGCAAAATCTCAACAATC